GTGTGAGCTGTGTGAGCAGCGCTCGGAGCTGTGTCCCTGCTCCGCCCCTGCCATCGCCTCCCTCAGCTCCCTGCCCGGGGCTGAGGCGCGGGGCGAGCCCTGCTGGGCGCCCTGAGGGAAAGAACAGAGCCCTGGGGGAGATCAACCGCCTGGGGAGGCACCGCGGCCCTCAGCGGCCCCTGCGGGGCAGAAATCCCTTAGGGGAAGGCACCACTGCCCTCAGCACACCCCGGAGAGGGAGAAATAAACCCTTCGGGAAAGGGCACAGGAGCTGCTGGACAAGGATCTATCAGTCCCCGACGGAAAGGCACCACTGCCCTCAGCAGCCTCTGGGGAGGAGAAATCCCTTAGGGGAAGGCACCACTGCCCTCAGCGGCACCTGGGGGGAGTGAGGAGAAATAAAGCCCTGGGGAAAGGGCGCAGGAGCTGCTGGAGAGGGATAAATCCCTTAGGGAAAGGCACCACCACCCTCAGCAGCCTCTGGGAGAGGATAAATCCCTTCGGGAAAGGTACCACTGTCCCCAGCACACCCTGGAGAGGGATAAATCCCTTAGGGAAAGGCACCACTGTCCTCAGCAGGCCCTGGAGAGGGAGATATCCCTTAGGGAAAGGTACCACTGTCCTCAGCAGCTCCTGGAGAGGGATAAATCACTTAGGGAAAGGCAGCACCACCCTCAGCAGGCTCACTGTCCCCAGCACACCCTGGAGAGGGATAAATCCCTTAGGGAAAGGCACCACCACCCTCAGCAGCCTCTGGGAGAGGATAAATCCCTTCGGGAAAGGTACCACTGTCCCCAGCACACCCTGGAGAGGGATAAATCCCTTAGGGAAAGGCACCACCACCCTCAGCAGCCTCTGGGAGAGGATAAATCCCTTCGGGAAAGGTACCACTGTCCCCAGCACACCCTGGAGAGGGATAAATCCCTTAGGGAAAGGTACCACCATCCTCAGCAGCACCTGGAGGGGGATAAATAAGTCCCTTAGGGAAAGGTACCACTGTCCTCAGCAGCACCTGGAGAGGGAGAAATCCCTTAGGGAAAGGCACCACTACCCTCATCACATCTTGGAGAGGGAGAAATAAATCCCTCGGGAAAGGATATAGCAGCACTTGGAGAGGGATAAATAAGTCCCTTAGGGAAAGGTACCACTGTCCTCAGCAGCACCTGGAGAGGGAGAAATCCCTTAGGGAAAGGCACCACTACCCTCAGCAGCCTCTGGGGGAGGATAAATCTCTTCGGGAAAGGTACCACCATCCTCAGCATGCCCTGGAGAGAAATAAACCCTTTGGGAAAGGGCACAGCAGCACCTGGAGAGGGATAAATAAGTCCCCTAGGGAAAGGCACCACTGTCCTTGGCAGCCCCTGGAGAGGGAGAAATCCCTCAGGGAAAGGCACAGCTGCCCTGAGCAGCCTCATAAACACCCCAGAGACATTCCTGGCACTGCTGCTCCCTCCCCTCCATCCCTCAGTGCCCTGAGGCTGTGCACAGGTACCTGGTGCAGTGTTAGGTTCCTAGAGCAATGTACTTCCCAGGGGTATGGGCTCACTGCCTTGTGCTTTTTGTCAGGCAGCAATGACCAGCAACGCGCCAAAATGTGATGAGACCCGAAGTAAACGTAAAAGAGAGCTGGAGGTGAGCAGAGCTGGGCCAGGAGGGACCCTCAGAGTGTGTCCTCCGCTGGGTTTGTGGCACAGAGAGAGGGCAGAGAGATCCACGGCACTTTGTGGAGGTTTGGGGAAACAATCTGTGTCTTTATTGCATGAGGAAACCACACTTTATCTTAGTGTTTGAAGGGCAACCAACTTGGGTGTGCACGGAGACAGTTGTGTGTGTCCTGAGGGTGAGCTGAGGTTCACTGGCTTTTACTGATGTGTACACTATAGATACACTTCTCTGTCTCTATCTCTCTGAAATCAGTGTATGTATAAATATCATTCCCAGGGCTCCCAAGCTGGTACTTCCCACCCCTCCCCAAGATGCTGTGACACCAACACCACTCACACTTTCACTGACAACTGTCCCCCCAAACCTTTTCAAACCTCTTCTTCCTCTCAGTTCAACTCTCCCCATGCTAAGCTTGTTTTAACTCCCAGAAGTTGTATTTTTCCCCTGTGCTCTGTCACTAGAATGAAGCTTCAGAAGATCCTCCACTCTCCTCCCTGGACAAACCAGATTTGGCTCTGCCTGAGTCTTCTCAGTCCCTTTTCAACACTGAAGTGCTGGAAAAGGTTTTAAATGGTGATGTATTAAATGCACTGCAAGTAAGTGTGGAATGACTTGATTTGGTGTCATTATCCATTCAGATGTCAAAATAAAATTGCTTCTTTTTTTTTTCCCTTTTGACAGAGATGAACAAAGAAATTATGAACTTGCTATCAAAGTATGCTCACATTTTAAGGCAAGTGAAGTTTGAACTATTGGTACAGCACTTGTCTAGGTTCTCTGTAAGTTGGATGCAGATGTGAGAGAGGTATATGGTAGAGATATATATGACAAGGTGATGAGTGGCTGCAGTTTAGGGAAATCAGCCCTGAAAACAAGCACAGATCTTGAAGGAAAAATGCTGTTTGCTGTTACCACAGAGAATGAATTCAGTCAGGAGCTACTGTAGGCAACCTGGTTTTAGGAGCAGCACAAAAGCAAGTTAATGGCATTTGTCTTGGTTTTAACCACACACTTTCTCACTTCAGTGAGAGAGCAGCCGTGGATGCCTCGTACGTCCAGGAGCTCGACGGGATCCTGAAGGAAGCAAAGACCATAGAAACCCACTTGAAACAGAAGAGGGAGAGCCTGAAACAGAGGTTCACTGTCATTGCAAACACTCTGCAGAGCTAAATGGAGTGGAGTTCAAAAACGGCTGCAGAAATGCAGGGCCAAATTGTGGTGTGTTCTGTGTATTAAAGCATCAACTGATGAGGGCTCTGATGTCTGTTTCGTATGTAAACATTTCCAGCAGTTCAGGGCACTTTCAGCAACGTGAGCAACTAATTTTTTTTCAATAATAGATCCAATACATAGTGTGGAGCTTAGTGAAACCAGTTCTAACTATCTGTTTAACTCCAAGGGATTACAACACTAAACCATCTGGGTTTTACCTCTTAACCCACTGAACATGGCACAGAAGCTTTTTCCACACAAGCTCTGTGGGTGGAAAAGAACCTCAGGTTATTTCATATTAACCATTTTCTCTTTTGCATTTAGTTTGGGGTTTTTTTATTTCTTTCTACTTCAGGAAATGTTTTGGTGCTAAAACCTTTGTGGAATATACTTGCAATCTCATTTCCCTTCTGTCTCAGAATGTGGAGTGAAAGGATCAGAATGGGAGAGTTCTATTAATGCTACTTTGGGAATGTATAAAGTCTTGATTTGCAAACATTTTAATCCTTGTACAGCTCTTCAAGGCCTTTTTGATATCAGCATGAAAACACATGATCAGACTTGGCTGGGGATGTCAATAAACAACTGGATAATGTTAAGATGGTCTAGAATTGCAGAGCTCTTTTGTTTGGGTATTTAGCCACACCAAGGCTGTTTGCCCTTTGTCCATTTTATTTAAGGGAGTTTTTTCAGCCCTTTTTCCTTCTTGTCCTTCGTGTCTCTTCAAAAAGGTGAAACATAGAATGTGCAAAGGATTTGCAGAAAATGTGAGGCTTATGTAACAAAGTGCTAGAACAAGGTCGGTTTCCAGCTTTTCCCCAGGACTTTGCAGTAATTTCCTCTTTCAATCCTTTCAGACTTAATCCATCCTCCTCTCCGCCTTTTATCAGCTGAAGCCACAAGTGTTACCTGTCATCCTGAACTGGACATCCAGGCTGAGATTTAGGTACCTAAAGATGCAGATATGTCCTTAGCAGGATTTTCCAAGTGCCTAAGCACGGTGTAAGCGCCTTACACGCTTAGGAAGTTTGGAAAATCCCATAAGGTGCCTATCTGCATCTTTAGCATCTAAAGACTTGCAAAAACCTTGTCACTAGTCCTCATCATATTTACCAGACTCTTCTCCCTTAATGATCTCTCCTTGTCACTGCTCTCAGGAATGGTGTTTGAACAGAGACATGGGGGACAAGATGTTGAAAGTGAATTTTTACAGGATGTTGTGGTTGCTAAATTCTCTGCTCACCCCTAATGGTGACAACACAGAGTTTGACATAGTCAAGTGCCTGAATGTAGCATTTTCCCACAGTTATCTATGGAAGCCTTGAAAGAAACATCACACAAGTGTCATCACTGATGAGCATCTGTCTCTCACCTGCATTTTATCTCTGTGTGCTCGGGGAAATTACCCAGCCATTTTAGATCCTCTGGATTTAGGTTATCCAGCTTCAGTTTTTCTGGCTCATCTATCCAAGTATTATTTAGAACCAGAACTCAGAAAACTACTGGATCACAAAATCTAAGTTCCTTCCCTTAGAGGCTCACGTGCTGCTGTTGCAGCAGTTTGTTCTATTAAAAAACTTGATAAAATCCAGTAAAAAAATCAGTAAAACTCCAGTCAGAACCTTGAGGAACTGCATAGTCTGGCACTGAAGTGCAGTTAAACCCAAGTCATCCCTCTCTGAACTCTTGGTTTCCTACAGGGATTTCTCACACCGTTGGTTGTCATTCCCTGTCATAGCTCAATAACACTGAGCGTAATAATTGGGGTAATGAGAGAATTTTGGAACGTGAAGAGAGGCTAAAGCAAAGTCAGTAAGTGTGGCCATAGCAGCCTATGGACACTGTGGCTGTGCTGATTAAAGCTCTTGAATTACTAGGAGAAACAAAGCTGCTGGTTTTGCTGCACTGAGGAGACACATGAAAATCAACCAGGTCAAATATATGTGGCTTTGTGAAGTTTGGGCTTGAAGTGGTGAAAGTTCAGAAAGCTGAAAGCATCCACTGAAAAGAATGGATTAATAATGGAAGAAGCTCTGGAAGGTAAATAATAGTTCAGCAATGAAAATACACTAATCACACGTTAATCTCTTCCTGTTTGAAGGGACATAACTGTGCTGGCCAAAAATGTAGAGTTTTTCTGTTCCACTCACTACCTATAGGAATATAGGAATATTCATTGCACATGAGTCATAGGAATATTCACTGCAAACTTTTGCTTCAGAACCATTAGAAAATCAACTGTTGCTGTTCTATTTGTCTACCATTTGCCACCCTACTAATGAAGCCTCTGCACTAATTGCCTCTGTGTGTATTTTGCTGCCCACTGGGAGAAACAAAGCAAGTTTTTAACTCTCTTCCTCTGGTCTGCCCCTAAAAGCTCATTCATTCCATGCCTGAGGAGTGAGCTGCACATCAGACCCAAGTGGCACCATCCCATCACTATCCTCTTCCAGCTGAACTGAAGGAGGTTTGAACAGAAAATTAATTGGCTTTGAAGCTGCCAAATCTGATCAGCCAAGCTGAGCTGGGACCTGCGTTTGCCCTAAGCTGCTCCCCCCGATGTTTAAGCTGCAGTGCCTGTGAGTTAACACGAATGTCTCAGATTACAGATCCGTGGCACAATATAAAGGGATTTTTGCTTAAAATCTGGGAACACCTTAGGCCAAGTTCTGACCCTCTGGAAGCCAAGGGGATTGTGGCACTGAGTCTTTGGCATTTCTGAGCTCGCTGGGAGTACCTGCACAGGCTGGAGAGTGTAAGTGATTGAAAACTCAGTTCCTCTCATTTCTAGTCTCTAACAGCAAAAAATGGGCAATAACAGATAATGCAGAGAGAGTTTAGTTATCCAGTGGAATAATTATCCCTTGAGAAAAGGGATAATTGTGACTGTTCACCCCAAAAAAATAGACTGCCTTGTGGCACAGAATAGAAATTGAGTAGGTAATAGATGTGGTTAAGGCTCATGACATCATGTCTAGAGCTCATCAGAATTCAGGTTTGTTAATTGTAGGATCTTTGTGGTTTATCTGTGAACTGTCTTTGAAAACCTGATGCTGGAGGTGGCACTGGGAAAGAACAGAGTGGGTGTTTTGCACCACCGTTAGGAGTGCAAAGACTCATAGCTCAGCCAAACTCCCACTCTGGAGAGAGTCTGAAGGACATTTCTGAGCAGTGACTTGGGGCACACAACATTAAAACCAGTAATTCCTTTATCAGAGTAAGTGACTTAATATGGCCAAAGCTCAGTGTGAGTGACAACAACGCCCTGCATGGTGTGATGTACAAGTAAGAGCAATCAGCAAGCAGGAGCTGCATGAATGAGTTAAAAAGTCAAGGAATACTCTTTTTATTTTTTTTCTGCCAGGTCAGCCTATGTGGTATCCTATTGTGATCTGCTTCCAGCAGAATTAAGAGAGGGCAAGGGAGAAGCACAACAAAGGGAATCATATTTGTCTCTCACAAAGCAGAAGAGCTGATGTCATTGTGTGGTGGAAAACCAGCTGAGAAGTGTTGGCTGTAGGATGGCAGATAAGGCATAGAAACATAGCTTGGACTTGATGATCTTAAAGGTCTTTTCCAGCCTTAATGATTCTGTAGCTGTTCTCCTCCACTCTGTGCTAGTTTGGTCTTAGCTGGAGATTGGGTTTGCTAATTAAAATGAAGTGGGCAGAGTGGGAACCAGAAGTGATCAAGAGGGAAGAAAATGTGATCTATGAGGAAAGGCTGAAGCAGCTGAATTTGTTTAGGGAAAGCACCAATTAAGGGAAGGCATGATAAGGGCTGAGCATAGAAAGCACAGCAGTCAGATCTTGCAGAAAGGGCAGGAAGAAATCAGCTTAATTTGCAGCAGAAGATTTAGGATGAGTATGAATCTGCCCAATTTAAGGACAGAGGAAGGGGGTCCCTGGGGTGCTGTGTGTGCTGCTCTGCTCCCTCTTGAGGCATAGGGCAGCCTTGGAGAGCTCCTCAATAGCATAAACAGGTTTCATCACAGTGTATTTGCAAAGTGCTGGAGCTTTCTCCTGGTATCCCGAAGGAAAGGGTCTGTCCTAGCTCCAGCTCAGTGTGGAACAGCAGAGCTCAGCCCTTCCCTGCCCGGTTTGATGGGTGTGCCCACCGATATTCACTGAACTACAAAAGGGTTCCTCCTCAGATTTTGAATCAAAGCATTTCTGACAGGTGAACAAGAAGACAAGGACAGCAGTCTCTAAAGGAATTCCCTTGCAGCCTGCGGGAGGTGTTTAAGAGACATCTGGACCTGATGCTGGGTGAGATGCCTTAGTGGTTTAGGGGTTACAGCGGCAATGCTGGTGGAGAGTTAGACTCGATGATCTTAAAGGTCTTTTCCAACCTTGACGATTCTAGGATTCCCCTGTATTCCCAGCAGGCACACGAGGCATTATTTCCAGCGGCTGAGCTGTGCCGGCTCACCTGGCGAGCGGGCAGGGCTGGCAGCAGGTCAAAACACACAGCATCGGCTCTTATTGTGAAAGGATGATGTCAGGCAGCTCCAGCTCCGACCCATCATCACTGCTGCTGCTGCCCTGGCACCGCAGCTCCAGCGCAGAGCCGACCCTTCTTCCCAGGGCAATATGCTAACCAAAATCCTGCTGTCCGCCAGCAGCCTCCTGCTCGCTCATGTGCGGCATTTCCTCTGCTCTTTGATGCAATTCATTCCAGGTAAAGCGCAGGGGTAAACAAACCCTTTTTATCCCATCGCCTCCCAAAGAGGTTTTGCTGCTGACACAGGTCGGTAGAGCAATTTCGTCTCTGTAGGAATGAGATGCGATTTGCGGTGTTGGTGGGAAGAAAGTCGGTGTTATTTCTTGAATAGATAAAGGGGAGAGGCAAGGATTACGGCAGATGGTTTAGAGCTGGAAAAGCAGTGGCAGCAGATTCTCTCTGCAAGGAGGGAGCTGTGAGCAGGCTGGAGAGGGAGAGCGTTTAGAGCAGCATCACTGCCGAAGCTTCGATCTGAACATACGGGGGGAAAACCACCCCAAGGGACTTTGTATCACAACCTAATTTGTGTCGTCATTGCACAGCTTGAGCTGGTTTTTGTTTGGGGTTTGTGTTTTTATTATTATGGGCTGGGTGTTTTTTGTTTCTTTGCTGGTTTTTTTTTTCATCTGAGACCTGTTCTCACAAAGTAGGAACAATAAAGATCATGACTTCATTCACCAGAATTTCTGCCTTTTGGTGGTGGTGGTGGTTGTGGTGTTCTCCTGCCCTTTGGAATCTAAGCATTGCTTCTGGGGTACACAAAGCTCTGAAAAGTTCTCTGAGCTGCCTTGTACCACCAGAACACCCCAGAGTTTAGAATCTGTTTCTACTGGTGCCACTGGGAAGCCAACAGCTATGTCTTGTGCAGGAGCTTGCCCAGTTCACTGTTGTTTCTCTCCCTTTGAAAGCCTTTCCTGCTCCTTTTCCCCATGTCTTTCCCCCTGTGTTTTCTGTCACTTCTGTTCTGTTCTTTGCTTCTTTGGCTGGTAGGGAGGAAGTGGGTGGCTGAGCCCCTGACCATGGGAAACCAACAGGCTAGATGGAACAAGGAGCCCAGCACTGGGACTGCCCAGCACCCACCAGGCAAGTGCAACACCTCCAGCTCAGGAATCGTCCTGGGACACTGGGGTGAGCTCAGGGGGAGGTCAGGGGGAAGGCTGCATTCTGGAGGGCAGAAAATAGCCACAGCAACCTCAGTTTGGGTTGAGGCAATGGGGAAAACTGGTTTGCTTGACCTGTTGTGCCAATCTGTGCTTTATAAGGAGCATAGTGTGTCCCATATCTTCTGCCAGAGGATTAGTCTGAATCTGAATGGTCCTCAGGGAAAACTGACTTCTTGCCTCACTCTCCCTGCCTGAGGAATACCATGAGGTTGTTTACTAAACTCTGCCCTTAATTCCGACGGTCCTGGATGTCCTTCTGAGTCAAGAAATTCCACTGTGCAATGGCTTAGGTGGGGAGGAAATGCTGATGGTTCTCCTGCCTTAGATTTGCATCTGTAGGTTAGAGTCAAAGTGGATTTGCTATCCCCGATGTGCAGGTTAGGAGGTTGTGCTGATTTTCAGGTGTGTTCCAGCCCCACTGGGACTGCAGAACTTTTATTGTGCTACAGATCTTCTATCTCAGAGTGTAGCCAGAACACAGTCACTCGGGAATTTGATTTCTATGTTACCTAACATTCAAAACCAGTCTGTCCTCTGCCTTTTGCAGAGACTGGTGCCTCGTTAGTTATCTGGATGTTACTGTAAACTGTGATTTATGACTGGGCTTTTGCATTATTTCTATGTTACCTAACAGTCAAAACCAGTCTGTCGTCTGTCTTTTGCAGAGGACAGTGTTATCGTTAGTTATCTGGATGTTACTGTAAACTGTGATTTATGACTGGGCTTTTGCATGAGGGTGGTACACCTTAAATTGCAGTTGCTTCTGTTCAGGTAGGAGTTATTTATGTCCCAAGTGCTCCATGTGCAGAGCAGGTGCTGTTAGATATAACAGGTTTCAGAATTATTAGTCAGACTTATATTTTTAGTAGGGAAGAAGTGGAAGGTTTAATTTCCTCTTTCTTTTTGCACCCCTACCCTTCTCCTAACTCTTCAGAACTGTCCTAGAGTGACTTGTCATGCTCATGAAATCTTCTGTTTCCACTCCTGTGGGTGTCATGATTCTGTGATTACACTCTGTCAGGATCTTCAGCTCATTCAAGTAGTTCCAAGAAGGAAAACTAACACATTCCCATGCTCTGTTACTGCCTCTCTCCCTGGTCTGGCAGAATGAAATATTCCCTTGCATGTTCTTGTGATGCAATGTCCCTTCCCAGGCATATTGTACACAATGCTTGAACTGAATTCTAAGTAGATGAATTCTAACTAGATCAGATTTCAAGCAGGATTACCAAGATGATCATGTGAATGGTTATCACAGGGCAAGGAAAACTAAAAGAACTTGGCTTACTTAGCTTAGGAAGTGATATGATTCTTCACTCTGAAGACAACCTGTGGCAAGCACAAGGAAGGGAAAACCACTTCAGCCACATAGAAAAATAAGGGGACAAACTGCTATGAGTAAAGACACCTTAATTGAATGCTGGGATGGTAGTGGTTTGAGGTTAATTGCTTTAGCTGTGCAGACAAGTTCTGACTTACCATATTGGATATCTCCAGAAGGATTTGGGGATTGGCAAACTGGAGAGCTACACTGAAAGAATTTAGCAGTTTATCTTCCTGTGTGTCGCATTCAGTTTGTGGCTGTCCTAAAGGAGCAAGCTTAGAAATATGCCTGTGCACCTTCCAGGTAAATCCACCTCTGCAGCTAAATGGATTGCCACAACAATCCTTGTGTTGATGAGGCTTTGCAAGCCAGGCCATGGGAGCCAATAACCGACATCCCTGGCAGCTCTCAGCATTCCAATCACTTCATGCTCTCCTGCTGCTTTTGTCCTGCAGCTCTGACCAACAAGGGCTGATTGCAGCCAGGCTAGAAGCTTTGTCAGCAATTATCTTTTTCTGCTACTGCCTGTTTATTTACCAACTAAAACTGGTGAATCTGTTTTGTCCTGTAAATGTGTTTCAGCTCAGTTTTACCTCTGTTCTTCCTAACTTCCATTTCTGGGGATTGCAGTTAGTTTTCTCTTTTCCTCTCAGTTCTTTATGAAATAAATTCCAAGCATAAGTTTCTTTAATTAAAAGAAAAGTTATCATCTTCTCTGTCACCACATACTTTATTGCCTCCTTTGGACTGCAGAACTGGTGTCTCTGGTGGATTAACTCCAGTAGAGCTAAATCCACTGGATTTTCAGCTCCCTGGGGATGTGGGAACACAGCTCTACTTTGAGTATCCATCCCAGGTTGCTGCTTGCAGAGTGCTGAATGCTCTTCTTCTAGACACCCAGACTAAGCTCTAGCAATAGTCAGTTTATTCCAATGAAAATATGAATTCCCTGCTTTGTGTTCTCCCTGTTTCCCACACAGGATTGAAGCACTACCTGCCCAGCCCACCCAGAGAGCAAATCCCCTGCCACTGCCCCAAGGGCTTGCAGTGCATCTCACCCTTAGTGCAGACTGTGGAGGAGACCCCTCAGCCCATCCCAGCCAAGGTCAAAGGACACATTCCCAACTGGATTCATGGCAACCTCCTGAGGAATGGCCCTGGGAAGTTCGAGTTTGGCAACGACAAGTAAGTCTCCTTTGGGTGAGTTTGGTAAATGGTTCTGATCTGAGCTCTGGGACACCTCAAAAACGTCTCAGCTCTATTTGGAGAACCTCGTAGTTTCTTTTTAAGTAAGGGGAGGAAGAAATACTTCTGTCATTCTCTTAAGAACAGCTGTTCCCTCAGCTGGAAACTCCCAGTGGGGTCTCTGCAAACAGGAGCAGCTCGTGGAGGTTGGAGGAGCTGAGTCACAGAGTCACCTCCTCAGAACAGTGGCATGAGGCACCAGGGCTGGGGATGGAACAACCCACTCCCCCAGTGCTCTGGTGTTAACACAGCTCCATCCCTGAGCACTCTGGATGGCACTCAATTGTGGGTTGCTTTCGAAGCACAGAACATACTCAGATGTTTCAGGAAGGCAACTACTGCTTTGGCTTGGAATCTGCCATTCTGCTGCCTAACTGAGCCTTTCCTCCAGCAAACTGATGGCAACCAGTGGCCAAAGCTGATCATCTTGTATTTCCAGAGACAGACCATCAGGTTATCTCCAAATCTCACAAGTTGCTTGTTTTGGAGACCATAAACATCCTGCAAAGCAGCTGAGAGCTGAAGGCTCCTTCTTGTGCCATTGTGCCTTCACTAGTAACTTCTGTTGTACAGCACAGCTCAATTTCTGCTCCCTGTGATGGTTTACCAGTGTAGATTCTTGCCCCCAAAACTTATAGCCAAATCCAGGTCTCACAGCTGCAAATGCACTGGTTTTGTTCCACTCAAGTCAGATGTTTTCCCAGACTCATCCCAAAGCTCTGCATGGTTAGTTGTTCAGGGGATCTGGGCATTGCTTTGACAAACCTAAAGGCAAGAGGGTACAGCAGATCAGAAGATGTAGTGCCCAACTGCTGTTCATGTATTTGTCTGTTGTTTGTCTCTTATTTACCTCTTATTTATCTATTTAGCTCTTACTTACCTCCTATTTACCTCTCTCCTATTTAGCTCTTATTTACCTCCTATTCACCTCTCTCCTATTTAGCTCTTATTTACCTCCTATTCACCTCTCTCCTATTTAGCTCCTACTTATCTCCTATTTATCTCTCTTATTTATCTCCTATTTACTTCCTGTTTATCTCTCCTGGAAGCTACAACCACTGGTTTGATGGCATGGCCCTGTTGCATCAGTTCCAGCTGGAGAAGGGCACGGTGACCTACCGGAGCAGGTTCCTGCAGAGCAGTTCCTACCTGACCAACAGCCACCACAACCGCATTGTGGTCTCGGAATTTGGGACCTTGGCCATGCCAGACCCATGCAAGAGTGTCTTTGAGCGCTTCATGGCACGCTTCGAGATGCCACGTAAGATTTTCAAGAAATAATAACCAGCCCAAGGTTTCCTTGGGGAGCTCGTGCAAAGGGAGGTGTGAGGAGGTCTGGTTGGCTTGTTCTGAGCCAATGTTTTCCTTAGGATATGACCCCCTGGAACAGCAACAGCTAAAGTGATGTGGATTGGTGCCAGGCTTAGCTGGAAGAGACACATTCAGTGTAATGTTTTAGTGGCACTTCAGCTCATCCAATTCCAGAGGTTGTTGCAAATTTCCAACAGGAATCTGTTGCCCCTGAGAACATCCTGTGCAGTGCTGATAAGGAGCATTACAAGGTTCTACCTGAGGCACAGCTTTGCCCTTAAAACACCTTGCCTTGCTAAGCTTGTAGGGTAAGTGGGCTAATCCTTCTCTTCCTGGGCTGAGGTGCAGGAGATTATAGGAGTAGGGTGAGAGGTGGTATTGCCCAGGAATGGAAGTACCACTACCTACAGGAGTCTATGTATGTCAGGAGAGAAATAAGCTTAAATGCAAGCAAAGCACTTCCCACTGAAACCAGAACAGACCTGAAGTTTGTTGCTCATGGTGTGACCATCTTCTGCTTCTTACCTTCCCCGAGGAGATGGATCCTGTCCTGCCATGTCATCTGTTCTCTTCCAAGGTGCTCATGCCTTCACTCACTGTGAAGCTCCCCAACTGCCCACCCAAGCTCTCTCACTACAGCTCAGAAGTCTCTCCATCCCTCATCTTCTCATCCAAGCTCCAGCAGGTTGTTCCTGTTCACCTTTGCCTGTCTGACTCTCTTGGCACACTTGGAGGATATTCCTCACTACAAGAGGCTCTGTGTCCTCCAGGTTTTTCCTCCACCAGCCTTAGGCTGTGTGTTCACCACACACAGTATGCAGCTGGGGAGCAGCTTTGTCCTCAGCTCTTCCCAAGCCAGCTGACTAGTGAGTCTCAGCTCCCCTTGGGCAGCAGCAGCAGCTCTGGCTCTTTGTGCGTGTGTAGCTCTCACCAGGCATCCCTGACTCAGTTTTAAGCAGAAAGAGAATAGGGAAGAGGAAGAATCCCCTGTCACACAAACAGCATCCCTGCCTTCCCCTCAGCCCTTGTGGCTTCAAATCTTGCCTCTCTTGTTTCCAGTGCTATAAATCAACCAGGACACTCTTCTGTGGCTTTGAGAGGAGAGGGCTTGGGCTAGGGAGGAATCTAATGAAACAAGAGGTCAGGAGCTAAGGCCATATAGAAATATGAAGGTTATCTTGCCTTCCTTGTGATGTCCACAAGAACTAGTCCTTGCCCCTTTAACCTGAGTTCACCTGAGCAGACAGTTCCCGAGTGCCTCTGTAGATTAGCGAGATATTTCTAATCGATCAGAGGGGGATTAATGTCATTGCAAATGGGCTTATTTGTTTAAACATGTCTAACTTGCTCTAATGTGCCATGAGCTCGCCCCGAGCTGTGTGTAACTCCAGGGTTTTGTTTCAGAACCAAGTGACAATGCCAGTGTGAACTACGTCCTGTACAAAGGGGATTACTACGTCAGCAACGAGAACGTCTTCATGTACAGGGTGGACCCAGAAACGCTGGAGACCAAGGAAAAGGTGTGAGCAAGGGGGATAAGGGGTTAGTTATGGGGCAGGAGAATCACTCCTTGCTGTTCCTAGGGGCAGCAAGAACCCAGATTCCAAAAGAAGTTGTCTGGACCATAAGCATCTCTTGATGCTTGAGGCCCTGAGCAGTCAGGAGCTCTTGTGGGTGAAGGTGCAGTCACTGCCCACTGTGGCAGGGAAGGGGACAATCACACACAGCTCATTTCCTCTGGTTACAGCTGCCTCTCATCCTGTGCTCTCACTGCTTGTCTGGGCTTGTCTCTACCTACCAGAGTGTGAAGAATGCAAGTGATACAGGAAAAAGTTACCACCACTGGTCTGAGATCTGAACTCCTCCCTGTCTTTTCATTTTTCGTGTCTGTTCTCTTTGTCTCCTTTGCACATCTCAAGCTTTAAATGCTCCAAAACTGTCCTGCAAAGTCTTGACTAAAACTCTGTTGCAAATGGGGGGTGAAGCCAATGAAAGACAAGTCACAATTCAGATCCCACTTTATTTCCCACCCTGACAGCAAATCAGAGCAGAGACTTCCCCTGTCTCCTGTGCATCATCTCACACGCCTCTGGCTGGATTCACAGCAGATATGACCTGTGAAATGACAGCCTAAGCTGTGTGTCCCCCTGCCTGCACCCTTAGAGAGGATTTGGGTGTTTGTTGGGTGTTCACTGGGTGCTTCTGGGCACTGTGAGGAGCACTGAGGAAGGATTCTGCTGTTCCTAAGGCAGTATTAACTCCTGTCCCTGTTCCTTAGCACAGACTATTTGATACCACAGAATGCCAGGCTCAGAGCACCCTCAGGGCTGTAGAGCTACTTGCTTGTTGAAATGGAGAGTGGGATGATTTGCCATTGAATCTGTCTGGTAAGGCAGAACACAGTGGTGGAAAGACATGTGGGGATTTTAGGCTGAATGTTCAGCTCTGTTGAACCATCTTGTCATTAGAAAAAAATCCCCTTAAGCTGCTCTTTAGCTGCAGATTGGTGTTTTTTTGGCTGAAATGGAAGGGATGATTTCACATTTAACCCCTTCAGTCTGAGATGCTGTAATAAGGCCTTGGTTTTCTAAACTTCTGGTGCAGGTGCTGACAGAGAACTTGGTGACTTTTTGGGGCAGTGGCTGTCTCTTCGCTCATGTCTGTGGTTCTAACAGGGTCCTGGCTAAAGTGCTCACACGGGCAACGTTCAGCACTTGTGCCATCAACAATGTTCCTGTCTCCCAGAGAAATGGGTAGTGCTGTTGGTCCTGTTTTACTGGTAGGACTAATGCAGGGAAATATCCTTCATTTTCAAGGGTTTCAGGAAGATTTGGGGCAAAATGAAGGCTCAAATCCATATCCCACATTAGTAGTGAATTAAGTCTGCTGTTCCTCCTCAGACTGCCATGAAACCAAACTTTGGAGAGTCTGTGGTTTGCTGCAGAGCACCAGGCAAGTCCTGCCCTGACTGAAACTCTTTGGCATTTGCAGGTAGACTGGAGCAAATTCATTGCAGTGAATGGAGCCACTGCTCATCCTCATTATGAGCCTGATGGGACAACATACAACATGGGAAATTCCTATGGGAAGCATGGTAAGATGGGCATGGCCAGGCCTGGCCTGTGGGCAGGGGGTACAGGACACTTCTTGGTGGTGCTCTACAGAGCAGTTGTTGAAGAAACATCTAAAGAGACCTCGAAACTGCTGTTTGTGTGTCAGACGTGGGAAGCCACATTAGTTCTGTTTCAGAGGGTCAGTCTGGCACATCAAATTGGCTTCAGAAGTATCTGACTTTGGCCTCTGAAGATCTATCAGGTTCCTCTCTTCCTCTCCCAAGATTTGCTGGAAAGCAGGGGAATGATTTTGAAGTCCCATCCAGCGCTGAAGCCTCATCTGAAGAAATGTAACAATTAGCCATGATTTCACTTACAATAATTGGCTTTTGCTAAGGGTTGATGCAGGAGAGATGTAATTTATTCCAGTCACCTGGATGTCTTATCTTTCTGGAATATTTTTCTTCTTCTCAGAACTGTGAGCATCTGGTTGGGATGTAGCTCCACTGCTGTGGCTGTTCAGAGCTACCATTCACTGCTGCCATGTGAAATCCTTCCCTTCCAGGTGCTGAGGCCTCTGCACAGAGCCACTGCTCTTTGCTGTGGCCCCTCAGGCTGGTCCCAGTTCTCTCCACAGTTGCCCAGTCTGATCATTTCTCATTCTTGCTGTTCTCATTTCCTTTTGGCCTCAGCAGTCCCTAGGTTTGCAGCACATGATTTTTGCAGCTGGAGATGCTGAGCCCTAGATTAATACTCAGATGCACCACTCCTTCCTGCCCATGTGCTCAGATTTATTAACTGAGTGCCAGTCATTGCCAAGGCTCAAAGTTTTCATTTCCTTTGATACATGAACTAGGAGCTTGGTTTTCTTCCTGCTCCTGTTATTGCAGGATAACACAAGGAATGCACTTGAGGCAGGGAAAGGCTAAGAAGATCTTTCTACTTCCTTTCAAGCTTCCTCTCTTTCTTTGCTAGCTAATCCTCTGTCGATTGTGTTATTGTCTTGGTGTCTGTTGGGTTTCTGCTCAGTTTGGCTGTGGTTCCTGGGAAAGAGGAAGGAGCAGAGCCTGACTTTGGTCGCTGTCTGTGCACAGCCTCACACCTCAGTGGTGCTGAACACCCTTTCTCCTTCCCAGGCTCCAGCTATAACATCATCCAGGTGCCTCCACAGAAGTCAGGCTGTGGTGCTGTGTTAGAGGGAGCCAAAGTGCTGTGCTCCATCACTCCCAGGGACAAGGCAAAACCATCCTACTACCACAGCTTTGGTAAGAACATTTTCCATCCCAACCCAAGTGATCTGTGCTCCTGGGAGGCAGCAAAGTCTGTCCTCTGCCCCTGAGACTGTGTTCCATCTCACACTTGGATGATACCTCCTTCCTTCTCCTTTCAGGAATGACAGAAAACTACATCATTTTCATCGAGCAGCCCATCAAGCTCAACCTGCTGCAGATTATCACTTCCAAGCTCCGTGGGAAAGCCATTTTGGATGGGATCAGCTGGGAGCCTCAGTACAACACCTACTTCCACGTGGTGGACAAGCACACTGGGGAGGTAAGTGGCTATTTGGCCTCTGCATCAGCTGATCTGGAAGCTCAGCTCCCAGAGAGAGTGCCAGGTAGCAGCCACAGCTGCTCTGTGGCTCAGTCCAGAACTCACTGCAATATAGGCTTTAAATGGTGGGTGCAGATTTATCAGGGATTACTTCATGCATTTTCCTCTCTGTTGCTCCATTTCTTTGCCAGCCCTAAAAGAATAGGCAGAAATAAGCAGTGTGGGGTACATGAGGCCGAAGCACAAGGACTGAAATGCAGGTCCCAAGTACTACAGGGTGTAAAAAGGTCAGTCACAGCCTGGGAAAGATGCTGCAGGGATGGAGTCAGCACAGCAAGGAGCCTGTCCTGGGCTGCTTTACTTCTGAGCTTTTCTTCATGTGTTTTTACCTCCTTACTGGCTTAAAGCAGCTCTTGTGTAGCAACACAAGGCAAATCTCAAGGAGTGAGTGGGGAATGAAATGGGGGATAAAGCCCTTTGAGGTGTGGCTGGGAGCTGCAGAGAGGAGATTTAGCCTCTCCCATGTCCCTGCAGGTGCTGCCAGGGCAGTGGTACACGAAGCCCTTTGTCACCTTCCACCAAATCAATGCCTTTGAGGACAGTGGCTGTGTGGTCCTGGACCTGTGCTGCCAGGACGATGGCACCAGCCTGGCCATGTACAAACTGCAGAATCTGAGGAGGAGTGGGGAAGGTCTGGACAAGGTAAGAGCTCTGTCTTTGTCTTCAGAGGATGTGGTGAGACCCTGTGCTGGCTCAGGTTGGTGGAAGAGAGAACACCATGGGAGACCACAAGGCTGAGGATGAGATCTGGGGAAAGGACCCATGACTATATCAAAATGAAAATGATGATCTGTTAGTGTTTTTCTTTCCATAAATCTCTCCTAATCCCCATGGAGCATTTCCCTGAAACCTTTAAAGCTGCCGTTGCCGGAGCTTGGCAGAATGTACTCCTGGCTTAGAATCTCATTTTCAGTGATACCCATTTTGCATATCCCTGTGTAATAACATTTTCCCCCAAGAAAGTTGCAAAATAAGACTTGTAAAGGGCAAAAGAAATCCTGTTATTTAAAGGCACGACTTCAGAAAAGCAGCTTAGCATTTCCCTGAAACCTTTAAAGCTGCCGTTGCCGGAGCTTGGCAGAATGTACTCCTGGCTTAGAATCTCATTTTCAGTGATACCCATTTTGCATATCCCTGTGTAATAACATTTTCCCCCAAGAAAGTTGCAAAATAAGACTTGTAAAGGGCAAAAGAAATCCTGTTATTTAAAGGCACGACTTCAGAAAAGCAGCTTATCTTACAAAAATCACAGAAACAAAACATCACAGGACCCCCAGTGTTGTTCCTCACAGTCACCTCTCAACTGTACACTCTGACAAACCCCTTGCCATGCCCAGCTCTGTCAGAAGGACCATCTGAGGCCGTGCAGGAGGTGTTTGGCATGAGTCCCACAGTGGGAAGGTGGGGGTGGCACTGCAGATGTTTGCTGGAACCCACCGAGCTGGGGGCACGGGGAGGCTGCGTGGTCAGCCACCTCTGAACTTCCTCTGTCTGTCCTCTGAGCTGTCTAGAACCAACTCAGACCCGACCTGAAAAGGGCACAGTTGTGTTCTCATCATTTTGTTTTCCTTTCCTTTGTGCTTTGTTTGTTCTTTCAAATCTGTTCCGAAATGAATTCAAGTCGAGTGTTGATACAACCGTTTGCTTTGCAAACTGATCCCAACTTTTGTTCAGCCTTCTCTGGGCACAAACCAGCCAGAATCTGATCAGGCTGAAGGTGTCCTAATGTCAACATCAGGCATATGTTTCCAGCACCCACATTGTTTTACTGCCAAGTGTCATCACCACTGAACTGCACACACACACACAGAGCAGTGCAAGTCATTTCGGAACAGAGATGGAAACTCACACCACGTCGAAAGCCCAAGACATGCCTGAGCATGATCTGTCTCTTCCCCAAATCATGCTGAGTGCCTTTGCTTGCTCACTGAGCCACACTCTGGCTGGCAGAGTTCCTCCACCAGTTTGCTGTGGTTACACAGACCACAAAGGTCGTGCAAATTAGGTTTCAGCATTAATGCCTGGGAGTGAAGTTTCATGTTGAATTGGTGAGGTACAGATTGAAGTCAAAAAATCCCACCAAAATAGGCTCCTTGTCCCTTAGATTATTTAGAAGACATAACAGGTGGGAATATTATGGGTTCTAAACTTGGCTTGAGCAGAACTCTGGTGGCAGTGGGGGAATTATCCCTCTTGTGCCACTGCTGAGTGTGTCCCACTCTGGGGCTGTGAGATTGCTCTGCCCTTTGCTCCCCAAGTAAACCCACCACTCCCATGGGCTTCCCAGACATCAATCCCTGGGCACCTGAGTGTGGAAGAGGGAAATCCTGCACCCTAACTTCAGGCCTTGAACTCGGGAGCAATGCTGACCATTTTCCTTGCCTGTCTTTTTGTTTTCTACTGGAACGTGCAGAGAACTTCTTTCTGTTATGGATTTTGCCTTACCAGAATGTGGCAAAACAGAAAGGAGATTTCAGGGGTGGGAGGAATGTCTAAAGCTTCAGGGTTGTTTCCCAAAAGTGCATTTAGCCTGAGATGTCTCTCCTCTCTCCACCCCCATAACTCTTTGTCTCTGTAACAGGTTTATGCCTCAGTCCCCAGAGCTTTCCCTCGACGCTTTGTTCTCCCTCTGAACGTGGATTCAGAGACTCCTGTGGGGGAAAACCTGAACCCACTGCCTTACACCTCGGCACAGGCTGTGAAGGAGGCAGATGGCAAGGTATGGATGGATTTCAGACCTGCATTTATGGCTGTGAGGAGATTGCCTGTGTCACTTATCATCCTGTGCCATTGTCTTCTCCCACCCTTAAACACTTCTCCAAATGGCTCTGCAGTGAGTTGATGGCACCAGTCAGGCCTTCTACCCTGAAACAGCTAAACTGACACTCATGTAATGAATATTTCCCCTAGGTGTGGTGCACACATGAAAATCTCCACCCTGAGGGCTTTGAGAAGGTTGGGGGACTGGAGTTCCCCCAGATCAACTACTCTCGGTACAACGGGAGGAGGTACCGGTACTTCTACGGATGTGGCTTTGGGCATTTGGTTGGAGATTCCTTGATCAAGGTGGATGTGGAGACCAAGAATTTCAAGGTCAGTTGAGATCAGATTGTCTTTTTTCCAGCACTGGGAGTCGTTCCAGTGAATTGGCCTTGGAGACACATCATTTCCTAGGGCCCTTGAGGGTCTCTGTTCCGATGGGTGTGGGATGAGATTGACTTCATCTCTCACCTGGCACCTTATGGATGTGCCACACTTACCAAACAGGAGAGGATGACATGATCCTCCTACTGGGATCAATAGGGTTAATTAGAAGGTTGAACTGTGAGTTTCTGGGAGCACAGAGTATGCCCAGGGAGTTTTGTGGGGTGCTCTCAAACCTTGCAGCTCTAGCTGGTGTAGACAAGTATCAATGAAGTGAAACTCATCTATATGTTCCTGTACTTCCTAGATTTGGCAGGAGGATGGATCCTACCCATCAGAGCCTGTGTTTGTGCCAGTGCCTAATGCCACGGCAGAGGACAGTGGAGTCATCCTGTCTGTTGTGGTCTCCCCTGCTGAGGTAACTCACTGCTACAAGTTTGTCAAAGTCATATAGCATTAGGGAACTTTTTAACCCACAGAACTGAGTTTGAGGCTCTTTGAGAGATAGTTCCTAGCACTCCAAGGTGTATATCTGCCCTGGGCATGCAGAGCCAGGCAATATTCCTTGGAATGTCAGTGTTTCTGTGACTCTCAGTGCTGCTGGGCAAGTGTCTTTCAGGTTCAGTCTGTGTGGCCTGGTGGTGCATTTGGGCTCTTGTGTGCCTGGACAGGACAAAGAGGTTCAGCCTAGACACTCCTATTTGTTTCCATCCTGCAGAACCGAAGTGCTTTCCTGCTGGTGCTGGATGCAGAGACCTTCAGGGAACTGGGGCGAGCAGAAGTCGCAGTGCGAATGCCTTATGGATTCCATGGCATCTTCACTGCCCACTGACTGAACACCTTGGCACCTCCTGGAACTCAGGGCCAAGGCAGGCTCAGAGAGAATCTTCTGCTGCTTTTACCTCCCACCTTTGTCTGGGATGAAGGAACTGTTTTTTTCTCTGTCATAACCTCCGAGTTACTCCTGTATTGCTAACAACGTGCAGCAAAGGGCTGAGGAAGGCAGAGCCCTTCACTCAATCAGCTCACTGCTTTATCCTGAGGGGTTTTTTTTTTACTATCTTGATAGCCCAGCTAGCAGCAGTTCACAAAGGATGCCATGTGTGAGGCTTGCAAGGGAGAAATGGAAAGCAGGATGACCATTAGCTTTCCTTGGCAGCAATGTGCTCTGAAGGGAAGAGAATGTCCATGCCTAGGGCAGTGACTTTGGCTGGAGCATGTAAAGCAGAAGGGAGGAGTGAGCCCAGCTGGTACCAGGTGGGCTCAGTGAAGGAGGTCTCATTTCACCCCCATGGCATGAAGATTGCCTTCAGTGAACTCCAGAAGGTAGATGCAGATGCTCACAGAGGCTGTACCTGTGCTTTTCCCTGTACACTAGCAGTACCCTCAAATAAAGCCTGGGGAAGTTTCCTCCTTTCTTTCCCTGCCCTCACATGATGCTGTAGACATGCACAACACCTCCCCACCCTGCTCCTGCTCTGAGGGCTAACAGTTCCTGCCATCCTCCCAGTTCAACCAGTATGAAACACATAGAATTGCACTGTGGCCTTGATACCCCTTTGGTTTAAGTAGAGCAGATCAAACTCCAGCAGCCTCTCACCCAGGATTGTCCAGCTGTTGAACCCGGGGGTGCAGGTGGGTGGGTGTGCTGAGGGATACCCTCTGTAGCACTTCACTTGCAGGTTCTGTAGGGGAGATTCTCCAGGAGAGTGATTCCCCTCCTGGCTTAAGGACTTCCCATATCTCTTCAGTCTGGAGAAGGATTTCAGCCATTTCCTTGAGCAAAAACCAATGAGCCCTTGTGTTCTAGGGGCTTTATCTCCTCTGACCTTTCTTCACCTTCCTACAGGTGTTGGGAAAGGACAAGGAAAAGCAAAAGGATCACACCCCAGGGCTGCAGCACTGGGAGAGGCTGAGGGAGGCTCAGGCCAGAGCTGGTCGAAGCCACTAGATGGCAAACAGCTCCCGTCGCTGGTGCTCCATCTCTGCTGTCCTCCTGCCTCCTCTCCTGCCCTCTCTGTGCCACCAGCCGTGCCTGGCACTGCCCTGCTGCAGCCTGTCCCCCGAGGGGCAGGGGAGGTCACATCCAAGAGGGATGTCCTGCGGTGGAGAGTGTTGTTTCTGAAGCTGTGCTGGACCAGCACACACCCCCAGCCCCTGCCTGGGGTGCACACACACATTCTGTGCTCTGCTAGCTCAAAGGCTGGTTTTGCTCCTGTTCCTCTTACACAGAGATCCTGCCCTGAGGCTTGGAGTTTTCCCACTCTGACAAAGTGACAGACATACTCTGTTATCCCCACGAATTTCCAGGTTTAAGGGAATGTGCTGACAGAGTTACCTCCATTCTAACCCTTGCAGCACGAAGAAATCCAGGCTCTCCCTCCTGTCCTAAAGCTTCCTGCAAATTGCCACAACTTAAGGATTTCTCTGCTTGGACTCTATGAATGTGATTACCAGGGTTCACTCCTTCAAGTAGGTTTATAACCATCCTAGAGGTAAGTTTGGCAGGGAATGTACAGGCCTGGCAGCCCCTCCCTGTGACTGGGATAGGAAAGGATTCCTGTGCACACTGATAATCCAAACCACCAGAGATCAGCCACATGACTGATGTGCTGTGGGATGGACAGAGCAGTTATTTTAGGTAGGAAGGAAACAGAGCCATGAGGTTTTCTTAGTCCCCTCGGGTGATATTGCTTTGTGAACTGTTTCTTTTGTGTTGCTGTATAAACACCTTGGTGTGTGCAGCTCCTGGCACCTTTGCCTTGGCTCACCCTCTGCACTGATGCATTTAGAAACACACTTCGTACAATTGTCCAAAGGTAAGAAAACACAAGCAAGGCAAATTCTTGGCCCGAGGGCTACATCATTGCCAACATCACCTCTGCAGGGTGAAAGGGAGGATGGAACACCTTGAGAGAGGAATGTCAATGAAAAGACAAGGGCAAATTTCAGAGCTCTGGTTTTACAACCACCTCCAGTCCTGCCCTAGAGAAGGCTCCTCTGCTGTTTGAGCTTGTGTTGTTTCACTGATGCACCTTCTTGTGTGCACATAACTCATTCTGCTCCTGGGCCTCACTCCCACCAGCTCAGCAGCCTGGAAAACACAAATGAGAGAGAGGCTTTGATGGGATCCAAGATGGGTTTTGTGCATGTTTTCTAAAGCAGAATTTGAACTAAGCTGAAAGGTTCACTCATGGGTACTCAACAGCATCACTGCTCCCTGTGCCATCACACCAGACCCTCTTGGCCACAGCTGAACACAGGGATTTGAACTGGAAAACACAATGCATATTTCAGGCTCACATTCTGTCCTTCAGAGCTGATCCCTCCCTGCCTGAAGCTCAAGTAGAGATGTTTTAACAGCTGCTTCTTATCCTCGTGGTGATCCCTGCGACCTTGATTGGAGTCATTACACGTTTTCTGCATCACTCAGTGATTCAGTGGAGAGTGAGGAGGTCACACCGATGCTCCTTTGGAGCTGCTGTACCTGTGTTTGCTAGGACTGACACAGCCTCTCCAAAGAGCCTTATCTCTGCCTCTGTACCGGCTCACACCATCGCAGGGTGAGTGCAGGACACCCATCCGAGCATCACACCCGAGGGGCAGAACCAAGGGGCTGAGCCCTGTACCCATCACCGGCACCTCGGGGCTGGAGCATCCCCGGGCTCGGCGGGAGGGTCCGAGGGAGGTACCGGAGCATCCTCCCCTCGGCGGGAGGGTCCGAGGGAGGTAC